TACAATCATCACAATGCATTTTTAGCTAGACATGAGTGCAGAGAGGTCAGCTTATAGTTCATACATTCTTAAAGAGATGGTATCCATGCATGTCAATACATGCCCAAAGGTGGGTAAATAACCCTTGTCTCTAGCTTCTACCTCTGCAGTTGCAGCCTCAATTTCTACGTTCCTCATGCCCTAAAATCACCAGCAACCAGTGATATTAAGTCTTCCCTGTGGTATCCCATCCAAGTTTCTAACTAGGCACCAGATTTATTATAGTACATGTGGATTTACTAGCATATGAGCCTGCTCTAAAGAACTTTCATTTTAGAAAACAACACAAGGAAAGAATTTACACTAGAAAAAAAAGCCAGGTATTTAGCCATAGCAATGTCCCTGTTCTTATATTAACATCATTTTTGGTATGTCTCATATATGGGGGCTGTACAAGATTCAGTTTGGCAGGGAAAGTATTTCTCCCAGCACATGAAAAAAAGAAAGACAGGAAAAAAAAAAAAAAAAACAAACCTAAAAGGTGAGACAAAAACAGCTCACCAGTCACCAAATCAAGCATTGTATAAGTAAATTGATTTGCCCTGATAAAATCAGGTTACCCAGCAGGGTGTGGTTGAGCACAGAGGATGTTGAGTTTGAGACCAACCTGAGCTAGACTGAGAGACCTGCCTCTTAAAAAAAATTAAAAATAAAAAAAATTACTTCCAAAACAAAAACTAACTAGGCAATGACTTATTTTTATGTAAACAATATTATCATTTAACTTTTTCTTTAATATTCTGATTGAAAAATTCTGTGATAGTAGTGACTTAAAAAGAAAAGGACGTCTGATCTCAGCAGACCGCCAGGGATGTGCCGAAATCTGGTTCTGGAAGAGGGCCTGAGAATGCAGGGGACTGCTTGAGAGTGCCTGGATCCTGCCTCTGCCTGGTGGTCCTTTTAATAAGATGATGCTGTACAGCAGTCCTTTCTGCATGAAATAACTACCATCATCACGACTTCAGCTGAGCCCGATTTCTAAAAATCTACACAATTGGGCTTGTTGACGTTTGTGCTCCTTCATTAAAGGAGGGCCAACGAGGGTCATTGGACCCTCACCACAGTATCCAACCACTCTACCCAGACAACTGTATGTAATTTGGCCTTAATCACACATAACCTCCTGGATTTAGGGAGGGTTAAAGTACACAATCTGGGGAAGGCTAAGAAGAGAAGGCATAACTCATGCTGGGTAAAGGCTTTCCAATGTGCATACCCTCAGGTCATACATACATCTCAGATATCTTGGTGAGTAAGCACAAGAAATTCAGTGGTTCCCCAGTAAAATTTTAGTCAAACATTGGCTTGACACTAGAACCTTAAAAGGGAATAAGCATTACTTAGCATTCCCCGGAAAAGAAATCAATCACCCAACAGATGGAAAATTTATTTGTTACTGCTATTATGTCTATCTATTTATTTATTTATTTATTTTTTTTTTTTTTTTTTTTTTTGAACTTTTGAGACAGGGTCTCCTTGTAGGCCCAGCTGTCCTGCCTGGCCTCCAACTCACAAAGATCCACCTGCCTCTGCCTCCCAAGTGCTGGGATTAAAGGTGTGCGCCACCACGCCTGCCAATGTCTCATAATTATTTAAAAAAAAAAAAAAAAGAAAGAAAGAAAAAGAAAATGAGAATGTGAAAGATGTTGAAAGGATATGGGAATGGAGATATTTTTTGCCAAAATAGAAAAAATGAGAAAGCCTAAGCAAGTGATGAAGGTCTGTGTAGGTCTGTTATGATGTATAAAGGATGAGACAAAAGATAATATGCATATAATCTTAAAATTTCTATGGTTACAGTTTAGTGAACTCTTTTAAGGAACAAAGTATATATCTAGTGAAGGTTTATCTGAGAATATTTGATTTTTTTACCCAAGCCTTATCTACATAGCACATAGTAATTAAAAGTACCAGACTGGTGGAACTAACCTTATTGGATGTTTAACAGCCATACTTTGAGGCCTATACTAATCTGATCAGAGGGACTTAAAGGACAGTTTTTGCCCCTTGCCCTCCAAGGTCAACTAAGTTCCAGGGGACTATGGAACACCTCTCAAAATGTCCTGTAACTGTGGTGAATCACCTGTCCTCTTGTTCAGAGAGGACGTGGAGACCCCACCAGACGGGCTTGAACCAGTGTCCAGTCTACAAAGAGGAGGGTCAACACAGAGGAAACATTTCCTCCATGCTTCCAAGTAAAGCCAGACATGGTCAAGCATGACCTCTGACTTATCTTCACATAGATAGAACTGGTAAAAGAAAGGAGCCAGGAGCTCCTCCCAAGCCCTTGAGGAACAGATCCTCATGCCATTAAGTGTAAAATTAAATTGATTTGTTTGGGCCAACTGTATGGTCTTAAACACCCAAAAGGAAAATATAACCAAAGAGTAAAGTCATCAGTGTATTTCTTTAAGAATTCAAGGGATTAGAAGTCCCAGACATTATTTAGAAATTTATTTCTCATTGATGGTTTTGTTCCTAACCAGAAAGTGCTGCTCAGATGTAAGACTTCAAATCTTGATCTCCAATACTGTAGGGCCCACCTGTAGCTAAGGGAGACAACCAGCCCTTGTTCTAAAATGATGGATAAATTTGTTTTCTCCTCCTATCTAGAAGCCTTTGAGAGGGAACTGAAACTGATTCTAACTGCTCCCAACAGCTATCAAAATACCTGAAAGCAAATCCTGAATCTGTCACTCTAGAGTCCAGCCTTGGAAGACAAAAGAAAAATGAGGAGGAACCAATAGAGGGATGCTTTTGGAAGGCCTTGTCAAGAAATTCCAATGGATTCTTATATGAACATTTGAAAATTGCTCTGTTCTGACTTTTTTCTAGTTCCCTATCTAGAACTTGCCATGCTAATTGCTCTTGTCTTTACTTCTCCTTCACATCTCCTATTCACCATTCAAGGACTTTCTTTCCCCCCTAGAGATAAGAGTTAATACTATTTGACTCACCCTGTGTCCCTGTTTAGCATAGAAGAAGCCAGAGCGGTCTGTGTCTCTATTCCTTATTGGCAATTTGGGTGGTGTGATAAGAATAGGAGGTAGGAATTGGCTAGGCAGTTAGGGTAAAAAGACCCCAAAGAAAAGTAGCCAGTTTCTTGGCTAAAAGTCAAAATGTCCTTGGGCCTCTTAGCAACATACTCTGTTCCAAAGGCCAAAAATGTTGAAAGTATTTGGGAGCTTGTATCTAATCCTTAAAAGGTTTTAGGGTTACCTCTTCAGAGGGAGGAATGCTAAGAGTAGCCAAATGCCCCATAAAAATAAATAAATCAATCAAAGAAGAAGAAAGAGTACATGCGTTTCTCTGAAAAAAGTGATGGGAAGGTATGGAAGGAGCCGGACGGGAGGGAGTGGGCACGGATTTGATCAAAACATCTTATATGCATGAATGAAATTTTTAATAATTTATTT